TGCCTCTATTTTGGTAAAATGTCACATGTGCCATGGTTTTGTTGGAAAAACCTCAAATGTTTCAGAACTCTAGTTATAAATTGAGCTATCGATGAAATTGTATCACAACACTATCATGTTGTAAAATTATGGAGATTTCTTATTCTCATTCCATGTTTTGTACCCCAGGGATTATGTTGCATATGCTCTTGTCAAAATCTCATGAAATTTGCATGGACATGGAAACTTAGCTCAAGTTATGGTATTGTGGGAATTGTTTCAAAATGTTGAAAACCTTGAAATTGGTTGGTTTGAAAATGAGAATTGGGATTGGGATTGTACATTGGAAATGAGATGGTTTTGAGAACAACAGATTAAATGTTGGAAAGAAATTCGGATTTAAGAAACAAAAATGGATTTTATAGGTAACGATGAATTCAGTGTAGTGCATAAAAATGATGAGATTGTTAAGTAGTGCAGAGACTCCACAGTGAAAGACCAGAAACCCCACACGGAGTGGGCAACAAATTTCCTTCTAGCTAGTAACTGGTAAAGTGGGAGATTAGGTGGATCTTGTGATAGACAATTGACATATATACATAACTTGGGAATTCATCTTAATCAATCGAAAGTGTTTTATAAATCGGAAACTTGTCTTTCGGATGAACTTCATGAAAAAGAAAATGATTGTTTGAAATGAAACTCGGTTTCAAATCTAGTTATGTATAATGTACATCATGATCATATGCATTGTGGATTAATATTTGTTAAAATAGAAGCATTCTCTATTGGACTTTTGTTCATCCCTCTTTGTTTAATCTTTTTCAGGTGTTGATGACGAACCACAACCATAAGTATATTCGTGAATGAGTAGGAGTAGTACCGATAGAAGATAAGTTGAGAGATAATAGATTGAGATAGTTTGGTCATATACAACAAAGGCCAACAAAGGCAGTAGTAAAGAGATGTGATACAGTGACGATAAATGAAAGTGTTAGGGGAAGGAGTAGACCTAAATTGATGTGGGTGAGTGTAGTAAATACAAATATGAATCTCCTTGCTTTGACTAACTAAATGGCCGTTGATAGAGTCGAATGGACAAGAAGAATTCATGTAACCGACCCCATCTGATGGGACTTAAGACTTGGTTTGCTTTGCTTTGGTAGCCGAGTGCCATTATATGTAAGGGTTGAACCATATTTTGTTGATGTAAGCCCATAGGGCATATTACTTACATTGAATTGTAATTATTTTTATCACATATTGTATATTCAAGACTGATGTAGAAATTGAATATAGAATGCATGTGGTAGATTTAGGTTCATAAATTGTATGAAATGGAACAGAGAGCGACTATTGTGGATTCCATCTTATTCCTATATACTATTTCTCCCTTTATAATCAAATGTCCCTCTCTATTTTCTTATAATTCAGCTATTTCCTTGACTATCTGGGTCTATTCTATTTCCCAATCAAGGGTTCGGATCTTGTGGATCCGGGGTGTGACATGAACACCATAGAAATAAAACATTTAAATAAATTAATTAATTAATTAATTTTGACAATTTTAATAGAGATATGAATCTCCTTAATTTGACTAACCAAATGGTCTTTGATAGAGTCGAGTGGAGAAGAAGGATTCATGTAGCCAACCCCATCTGATGGGACTTAAGGCTTGGTTTGGTTTAGTGACAATTTTCTAGTCTTGTTCCATGAAGTTTCTTTTAACTTCATTCGCTAATCACCTTTCAAATAGTGTGAACAAATCTAAACAGTAGTGTTCAGTGATCAATCCCCATCAAGCACTACACTGTTAGTTGGCAGCTTAGATGATCAGATTGTATATTCAGTGCTTCGGGGTGTGACCAGCTTTCAATCTAGTTTTGTTTTGATGAACAAGTTTGTTTCCCACATTGGCAGGTTATGGCTCCATGAGCCATCACATACATTATAAAAGTTTATGCTAGTGGTTTCAAACAATGCATGGGTCAGTTGCCCCTCATCATCCAAACAATAAGACATACGGCCTACCACTCTGTTATCTAAGCATTAAAATATTTTATTGTTCACGCCTTTTATAATTCAGAACTAAATCATTTATAATATAATAATTATTTAAATGAGCTGAGCTCGTTTATGTTCAGGCTCTGCTTGTTTACTAAACAAGTTGAAAAGCTAGGCTCGAGCTCATTTGTTAACATAAATGAACAAGTTTGAACGTGTTTTTAACAAGTCGAGTTCAAGCTGTTTATAAACAGCTCGGTTCATTTACAACCCTAGGGAGAGGTAAGAAAGGAAGGACTGAGAGGAGAGAAGTTCAAGGGTAATTTTTTTATTTATTTCATGCTTATACATTGTTTTAAAAAAACTAGTTTCTTTTTTTCAGGATTTGTACATAAAAATCTGAAAGGCTTTTACACGAAAATAATATATGTATATTAAAATTTATGTATACCAAGGCTCTAAAGGCACTCCTACCCCTGAGGTATTTTAACAAAGGATGCTTTTGAGCTCTCACTCCCTCTTCCGCTCCCCTTTCCGGTAACTTAGGGCAGACCATAATGAACTTGGTATTCCCCCTTAAAGAAGAACACGAAGGAGCCTAACAAAGAGTTCTTCATCAACAAAAGACTAAAGAAGAAGCAGTGGGTGGATCAAAGAAACGGCTAGAGGAGTACCACCACTTTAATCCAAAAGGAGAAGAAGAAAGAAAGAAAATTAAAATAGAGGATACTAATTCGAAATCCAATTATGCAAGATTTCATTGCAATCAACAAAGTAATAGTAGTAAATAATAAATAATACCTAAGAAGCACAGACATGTGACATGACATGACACCGACACGCTGACACAAAAAATTTCAAAATACGTAGGACACAACACGTGAGGGACACAGGCAAAAATATAATTTTATAAATTTATTGTATGTCATATATAGAAATATTTAAGCCAAATATAATAATTTTTAAAGAGAATAGGTATAAATTTATACATATATATGTATATCATTTGATTTCAAGTTATTTTATATAAACTTGTAATGTGCTATATATTGGGAAGTGTACGATGAGTGTTGCGTCGGACACAATACATTACCTTCTTAGAAGTGTCCGTGCTTCTCAGAATAATACAATGATTCCAAACTCTATTTCTAATCGTGGTACAAAATTTCATTTAAGTATCTTGCATAATACTACCTTCCCTTTACCAAGAGATGCTAAAGCTATTCATAGTAGTTACTAGCAATCCGCACATGCTATGCGTGTGTAACTCAAAAACAAATAATATTATAAAAATAATGACAAAGGAAAATGTACATATATTGTGTATTGATCAAGTGGTAAGAGCATTCATTATTAAACCTAAGGTCATTGATTCGAGGCGTGTCCTCCTTTTTGCATAATTTTTACAAAAGCTCCAAATATAAGGGTATTTTTGGAAAATCCAAACTATGAGACAAAAAGTGTCAACACCACCAGCAGCCTTCCCTTTATATATTAGAATAGATGTTTAAGTAGGAAGGGGGGCTTTGGAAAATAACTCGAAAGTACTCGACTTCAGTCCCAATACTGAAAGACGTGACTAGATGGATCCCTATCTTTATCTCTATCCACGGACATACCTATCTATACGGAGTTTATGGTCCCAAAAAATGTAGCCACCATTGGCCTGTACTTCATCTTATTTATTCAAAGCTAGCAGCCTATGTCGACGCTTGCCAGTCATTTACAATTTTTTATTTTTCCTACAAGCTGCTACAATAAACAAATTTAAAAAATAAAATAAATTGAAATATGTAAAGTTATGTACAGCTTGATAATGAATACTATACAAATTCACCATCATTTCCATGAGACATTAAGCGATACAATCCTCCATTAAATCAAAATTAGAATCAAAATAATGTTTAGAATGGAAAAAACATCCGAATATTGCATTAGTTCACAAAATTCTTTTCTTTCCATTTTTTTTTTTTTTTAAATCATAGTAGTGTAACATTAACCTTGAGGTTGTGGGTTTGAACATAAAGACAACCAATTTGTGCATATTATGCCGAAGGTTATGTCTGCACTAGATCTACCCCTCCCAGGAAGTACTTTTGTTAGTTGTGTAAAATTATTAACTTAGCCAAGAAGACATATTACAATTTGTCAATTACATTAAGGGTTGGTTTGGGATGTTCTAAAAAAGTACACTTTTTGACTTATTGGCTTATATGGGTTGGGTTTGGGTTGGATTTGATGTGATGTGTTAGAGAAGTGATGTGATTTAAATAAGATGATGTGACTTAAATAAGATAGTGACTTTTTGACTTTTTGTCTTTTTGTATTATTTAGGTTATGCCAAACTTGGCCTAAATGGACGTTTTGGCTTTGAGATCTCAAATAATGAAATTCCAAGATTTCAAATTTGTAGTACTTTTTCTTTACACATTTTTACCAACTAGTAAAATTGTATTACTCGTTCTTTTTTACGTTTTTGCCAACCAAGCAAAGCAAAAGATAAAAAAGCATAAAGAATGCATGGATGCAAAGAAAGATGAAGAATATCTACCCCTCCCAGGAAGTACTTTTGTTAGTTGTGTAAAATTATTAACTTAGCCAAGAAGACATATTACAACTTGTCAATTACATTAAATGGACGTTTTGGCTTTGAGATCTCAAATAATGAAATTCCAAGATTTCAAATTTGTAGTACTTTTTCTTTACACATTTTTACCAACTAGTAAAATTGTATTACTCGTTCTTTTTTACGTTTTTGCCAACCAAGCAAAGCAAAAGATAAAAAAGCATAAAGAATGCATGGATGCAAAGAAAGATGAAGAATTAGCAAGTGTACTGAATTCATGGCATATCATCTGATTTCCATAACATATACAAACTTCGAACACGTTTAACTATATTCATTCATTTAATTGCTTATTATAGCAAACATAGAAATCAACAATATAATCAAATCCGAACAAATGATGGAACTTTAAAATGAAAAGTAAACCATAGTATCAACATAATAAAAATACCTATCTCAATAACCTTATTCCTGGCAGATTTTTGCAAAGAAGATAAGGCCACTTTTCCAGGATAAGCTTTAGTACTTTGATGGTATCCCTAAAACAAGTGTTGCAAATTCTTGTAAGAATAAATAAATAAATAATAATAAACTATTCAATGATTAACATAAAATCATGTTGCCAATATTAAACCTAAATCCCTAACAACAATAATAAAATGTCCTCTCACATGGTATTTCAAAATTTGAGAATGCATCTTCTGTAATAGATCTTTAACAACGGAGATCGACCATGGATTGATACAACTTTCACTATGCTGAAAAGAATCATCATCACCCATCTATGGTAAACAATTGCACAAGGATCAATCATCTTACTATTATAGATACAAAAAATAATAATAATCAATAACCAAACAAATGCATGAGGTGCAGAGAAAAAATAAAAATAAAATGACTCTCTCCCAAGAGAGTACAAACCAATACTAATTGAAAATTGAAATAAATACAACTATACAAGGGTACCAAGGAAACATATTGGCCCATCATTTCCATGTTACCTTAAAACGAATAGCATCATTTCATATCAATGAATGCTTTCTGATAACAAAATGACAAGCAATCACGGAACAACATTTCTATACAGTATTGGTAGCTAAAGTTATGATGTTTCTTGCTGCAAGACAGGAGCAAACAGAACGAGAAGTATATACATAATTACAAGTTATGAGATTAAACAAATACCAAGAAATGAACAACCAAGAAGTAATATGGTTCAAATTGAAAGTAACATGAAGGTAAACCAAAAGTATATCAATTGAAGTATTGAGATTTGAGGACCTATGATTTGACAAAGGTACGGCACTAGATAGGGGAAATGGGGGAAATAGGGGAAATGGGAGAAAGAAAATTATTTTGTAGCCAAACTTAGATCATAATGATATGCATTAGGCAAACCTACGGCATGTCTAAGTGCAACAAAAGGTGGTGGTTCATGGTTAAAAGAAAATAATATAATTGGAAATTGTACAAACAACTTAGTGAAACAAACTTATAGAGTTTTACCTACACGTCTTCAACGGAAGTGAACATATCCTTTTTTATGGACCATGTATAGTATAAGCTTGCATCAATGCAAATAGATAGGCCGAAGAAAAGACTTTTAAAACAAATGATATCAAAAAAATCTCTTTGCATATTGGGATTTGTGAAAAAGGCAATTTTTGGGGGCTATGTGGATAAAGTAAAATTGAGTTTCTAGTCTCTTGAATGAGAGTATTATAGATCTCCTATTGTGTAGAAAAGTGAAATATGCAAGTACTAATGTACTTTAGCTTAAAGACATTGAAAGTCGTCGGAAGGAAAAACTCAAAAAAAATTAATTAATTAATTAATAATAATAATAATAATAATGGATGTTGAATGTAAAAGACTAACAAATCACATAAATAATCTCCGCATTGTGAATCGTAAGATGCAAGTATGATTCTAATCAGTGACAGCTCTAGAAATTTGGTTATTGATGTCATTCAAAAAAACAATTGATTTTGTTATTGTGTTTCTAGAAATTATATTAAGAAATAAGATAAAATACACTCATGCTCCACTTTGAACTTCTCACACTCCATTATGAGAGACTAAAAGACCAAAAAAAATGAAGAGTGAGATGCTAAAAATCGAGAGTGTATCATTTTCAACAATAGTAATACAATTATTAGATTTGGATAATAAATTTTAGCATTTGCACACACACAAAAATGTGTACACCATATGAAGCCTCACTTTGAATAATTGGATCTAAAAAATTGAATGAGTCATGAGCAATGCTAGGTATCATGAAAAATATTTCACGAAGATGATCATGAAAGATTTTTTACCCTTAGATTACATATGCAATAAGTTACAATGTGTAATACATGGATGGAGATTCTTTCATGACCATCGTCATAAAGCATTTTTCATGAAGCCTGGCATTTTCTAAGTCATTGATCATAATCATATTGAGTCGTAAGCAATACCGTTTTCAAAAATAAAAAATAAAAGGTTGGCAAGATGCACACAAAATCAGAGAATTCTTAAGCAATAAATCATTTATGTCACCTAAATATGTCATATGTTCTAAAACTATTCAGAAATCAGTGGATTCAGTTGAACCCTCTAAGATAAGTGTGGCGTCACCCATGATTCTAATAGAATCATGAAAATTCATTAGTGAGATTCAACCTATAACGCCTGTGTTTTTAAGCCATTGGAAAGTGTATTTAATTTCCTTTTCTTTTGTCATTTGGATCTTTGGGTTGTTGTATCATTGTTTGACAGAGTAAAATTCGAGTTAGACTTGTTTAGATAATTCTTTCGCGCTTGGTTTTGTTAGAAAGTACCTTGGGAGCCCTAACTTTCTTTTCTACACTGCCCTAGTGAGGGTCAACACCTGCTCTTCTTCTTTTCTTTTGCTTTGGTACTGCTTCTTAGTGTCAACACCAGGGCTTCTGGTGTCGACATTGCCAGTCTTGCTTCTTCTTTTTTGCTTTGCCACTGGTTTTTGGTGTCTACACCAGGGCTTCTGGGTGTCGACACCCTGTCTACTGGTTGTGTTATTGTTTCAACACTGTTTCTCAGTGTCGACACCTTTTCGCTTGGTGTCGACGCTTGATAGTATTTTTTTTTCAAAAATTCAGCAGGGGGTTAGGGCCCTACTTTTGGGACTTTTGACTCATTCTTTTTGGTTAGCTCTAAGTTAATGTTCTATTTTTTACCTAGACCATGAATAGGCCCTAACCCACGCTCTCTTTCCTCACTTTTCTTCTCTTCTCTCTCCCTCTCCCTCTCTCTCTCTCTCTCTCTCTCTCTCTCTCTCTATGTTGAAATAAAATACACAGAATATTCTAGAATAGGACCCTTTTTTGTTATGGCCATTGTTTAGGCCTTGATTTTATTTCCTTTTCTATGTTATTTCCTATCTTGTATAGTTTCCTAATATTGTACATATTGATCTATATATTCATGGGCAGACCTCAATTGAGATTAAGCCAATTCATTATTTTATTCTTCTTGGTATCAAAGCCTAAAAAACCCTAGCCACCCTCTTTTCCTCTCTCTCCTAACCAACCACCACCGAAACCCCTTTCCAGCCACCATCCACCAGCCAATAGCCTTTCTCCTCCTCTCCTAGCCAGTCAAAAATCCTTCCCAACCCCTGTCCACCAGCCGAAACTCCTTCCCAGCCCCTACCCACCAGCCAACAACCCCTCTTCCTTAACCCTTGACCCTTGGCAGTCCCTAGAAACCCCTGCCGAGGGCTATATGAGTGCCAACCAGTCTCTTATGTGAATAAGACTGGTTTGATTATGTCCCTAGCGTTTTTCATACCCTTTTTCCTTGTTTGGGTGCTCCAAGTGAATGTGTTGAGCATTTTTTTTTCTCCTGTTTGTGGAGTGGGCTACTGGCTTTATTTGGTCGCATTTAATTGGATAGGCCGTTGAGTTTTTTCCGACGTCTTGCTTTCGTTTTTTGGACTGTGTTGCTGTGACTTTGTGTGTCTTTCAAACCTATCATCATGACTGATGAGACACCTCTTGCTGCTCCTACTGCAAAGACCACTAAACTGATTCCCATGAGTTCTGATTTTTCTCTTTCTCACCACTCCTGTTCATCACATTACGAGTGTGGTGCTAAATGGGAAAAATTTTGCTACTTGGAACACTTAGAAAATATGAAGAAGAAGAAGTCCGAAAATATGAGGAAGAAGGAATATATTTCTGTTATATTCAAAACTTCTTATCTTACAAGACCAAATGACACTCCTTATATAGGAGATATTACAAACATCATCATAACCCATTATATGCCACTTACATATTATATATTACCACTATCTACCACTATCATATTATATACATGCCACTATCTACCACCAACACCACTATCATATTCTATACATGCCACTATCTACAACCAACACCACTATCATATTCTATACATACCACTATCTACCACCAACACCACTATCATATTCTATACATGCCACTATCTACCACCAACACTACTATCATATTATATGCATGAACACAATTTCCAGCAGGAACTATTCCCTTAAACTCTATTTAGGGGGCAAGGACAAAGCTCATTGGCTCTTGCCTTCTTCTACCCAACCGATGAGACCGACCCTAAACGGACCTAGTGGGATATTGATAATTGCACTATTTTGGGTTGGATGTTTAATTCTATGGAGGATCGTATCTATCACATATTTTTATTGCGACACAGTCCCTAGCATCTGACATGCCTTGTCCCAAATGTATGTCCATGCTTATAATGATGCTCGCATCTTTGAGCTTTATCAGGATATTGCTCGTGCCTCCCAGTCTACCTTGGGCCTTTCTGTGTCCGAGTTCTTTGGATACCTTCAGGCTCGTTGGGAAGAATTGGCTCAATATGAACCCTTTATTGATTTACCCGTCGCTACTGCTTCTCTTGTGTCCAAACGTCTTGCTCGCCATCACACTTAACAATTTTTGATAGGTTTAAACTCTGAGTTTGAATCTCTTCAAACTCAGATTTTAAACACCTCTCCTATGCCGTCCCTTTATGAGGCATTCGCTACCATTGATAATGATGAGCGTTGCCGGCATTTGGTTCAACCAAGCTCTCCTTCAGTCTCTCTAGTTTTATCTAATCAGATGGCCCTTGCTGCCAAATCTGGTTCTCAAGGTTCTTCGGGTTCCACTACTTGCCATCATTGTAGTGCTTCTAGGCATGTCAAGGCTCGTCCCTTCAAACTTCATCCTAAGTTGACACAACGTTCTACTCGTCCTCGTGGTCCTGATACCCCTTGCACAACTGCTTTAGTGGAAGCTGCTTCTGCCCCTGCGCCTTCTGCTATCTCTAACTTGTAGGAGTTATAGACTCAAATTGGTCAGCTTCAGGCTCAGCTTGGATCCCTTGCTAGTTCTCATGGCCCATCACCTTCCACTGCTGCCACCCTTCCTACAGATACATCTACTGCTTTCCATGTTCGGTGTGCTAGTCCCTCATGGGTTCTGGATTCTAGGGCTAATGATCATGTGACAAGTGAGTTTTCCTTTCTTTCTTCTCCTGTCCCTACTACCATAGCCCAATATGTTTGCTTCGCTAATGGTTCTTCAGCTTATGTTCATCATAAGGGTGTTGTGTCTTTATCTCCTACCCTTATTTTATCATATGTTTTACATGTCCTCAATTTTGCATATAATCTCTTATATGTTAGTGTCTTGCCAAACAGTTTAATTGTGTTGTCATCTTCTTACTCTCCTCTTGTCTTTTATAGGACCTGAGTTCGTAGAGGATTTTTAGCAAGGGCTAT